GACCTGCTCTATTTGAAAAGTTACCTGAGATAACTTCTGTTATGAATTGGCACTATACAAATAAAATTGAATTGAATTGAAAATGTGTTTCTGCTTAAATTATGCACTGAGGGGTATATAAGGAAGAGCGTTCTGGAAGCATGGAGAGAATACTTATGCTGTGGTCTTCTCTCCATGCTGCATGTAATAAAGTGTTTTGATTATCACACTGGCTTGACAGTCCTTCAGAGAACTAGCAACTCTCTATCTTGGGAAGAATTTCCACGACATAGGTGCCTGAATAAATATCCAAAACTCAAAACTGAAAATCAAATACCTACCCAACAAACAAATAGTCCAATATTTGGGTCCAGCCCTAGTTTTGTTTACTTCCTGTGACAGTTGACCTTAACCATTCTGGCTAAAGATGGAAAAGGACAAAGATGAAGATTTAGGCGGAAGATTCACCCAACCACATCTCAACTGTGGGAGCCTAAGCAAAAGGTCAAGATCCACTCGTAAACAATACAATGTGTATTGAGAGATGCAGACTTCAATACAATAATACAACTTCTTTAATTCTGAACCGATTTTCTCTGAATAGCCACAACTTCCACTGGGATATGCAGGCTCCAATCTATAACCTAGGCATCATCATCAAGTGTAAATTATTTAGAAATGCGGCTGTTGTGACTTTGACTCCAAAAATGTAGATTTGCTTGTAATGTTCAAAATAAATGACAAAATGCTCTAGATGAATAATGTTTAAATTGAGACGTTTCTTCCAGTTTATTCTTTCCTTATTAAGTTTATACAGTTAGGCGAACCCACGATGCTGGTTACAATATCATTACACAATTCTGTGCGTCTTAAAGAAAACCAAGACTATGCTGTACAAAAACACTGCATTAAAAACATTGTATATATCAGAAACACACACTATGCCATACAAAAAATGCATTCCTAAAGAAACTAGTTAGATTATGTGCCGATATCTCCTCTACTTTGAGTCATAAGACATTCACTGAACCCTTGTAACAAACCCACAGTAGCTCGAGAAATATAGAAGACATAAACACTTTGGGACTCTCAGTAGTCAAAATGTAACATAATGGAAACATTAACCAAAAATGTGACAAGATATACTTTAATCCAGGTTTTCCTTTTCCAAAAGTTAAATTGACAGTGAGTGACAGACTCTCTTCCTGTCGTAGACATGATTCAATAACTTTTATATTGTCTAATGTAACTTAGTGTCATCATCAGAAAACAGACTGTAGTCAGACATCTGGGTCCAACCCCCAGACCCCATACAGAACAACAGGCATTACAAGTGTCAAAATATGGCTCATGTTTGAGTTCACGTAAGAATTCTGTAAGATAGTTAACAGACAAAACAAATAAGGGCTTTACAGACCTGAGTTTTTTATTTTATTTTTTAAGATCGATGATCTTGGTTATTTTTAACCTCGAAAAGCTTTCATCTTTGTTCCTTTGCTTTAGTGTGTTGTCACATGTTATCAGTAAGGATTATAAAACAGCGTAAATGACAATGTAAGCAGCTTCTATCTTAGAACCGGATTCATAGACCGTTTTAGATAAGGGCGGCGTATATAATACTGATAAGATAGTAACCAATAACTTCCAGCACTTTAATTCATGTTGTGTATGTCACCAGCAAAAAGTATTAATGAAAATGAACCAAGTGTAACGATCTTCTTCTGGAAATGCCCAAAGTGCTCACTGAGTTTGTCTACATTTTCCCTCCCTGCTGACTATCTTAGCCTGGCATAATTTAGTGAAATATCTTGAAATATCTTGGATGAAATGTCATGAAATTTGGTACAGACTTTCATGGTGCCCAGATGATGATTCCTAATGACTTTGGTGATCCCCAGATTTATCCTCTAGTGCCACCATGAGATTGAAATTTGTGGTCATTTACTCAAATACCAAAATGACACTTTAGACAGAAATAAATTTTGCTTTGCAAGTTTGCTGATTTATTGATTGATTTTATTGAACCTTTGTAACAAACTAGCTTGAGAAACATAGAAGACATAAACACTTTGGCACTTTCACTAGTCAGAATGTAGCATACTAAAACATTAACCAAGTTACTGAGCTTAAATCAAGATGACGCGCTCTCTCTCTGTGATAGAACTGATTAGACAACCTTTCTGTTATTTGGTTTTCTTAGACATTAGTCCAGTTTGTGCTTTTTGGTTGACCTTTAGCATTGAGACATATTTTTTTCTTTCACAAAATGTTACACAACTGTTACTTAAGTTTGAGATTACATCATTGGTACTTTGCACCCCCTTTTATATTTATATATATATTTATTCTTTATATGTTCAATTTTGTTATTCATCTATTCTATATAATGTACTTATACTACAGTACATGGTATTTTTTTTTAAAGCATCTTGGGCATAAAATGTCCGTGGATTACTAAAGCTCTGATTTATCTTCTAGAGTTGCAGCAATTAGTCAATTAATCAATCAACTAAATATCAATAGGGAACTGTTTTATAATCTATCATTTTGAGACTTTTTGTAAGACAATGTACAGTTCTCTGGTTTCACCTTCTGCAGTGTGAGGATTTGGTGGTGAATATCTTCAGGTTTTGGTCTGTTGGTCAGACAAAAAAAAATTTAAAGATGTCACCTTGGAATTTGTGATGGGCATTTTTTACTATTTAATAAACAAAACTATTATCAAATAATTAGGAAAATAATTGGCAGATCAATCAGTAAGGAAAATAATTGCAGCCTACCTATCTCACAGTATAATTAGTGCAGGTGCAATATTGATTTTGTCACATTAATGTTTGCTGTTTGGGTTGGACCAAAGATCATGGTGGACAAAATAATAGGAACATCTGCAAAGATAATGCAGTACAACAACAGCACAAACAACAGTCTCAACACCTTTATGATGGATACAAAGCTGGGAAACACAGGACCATGCTCTATATCTTTATTAAAGAGATTCATGTTTTTAAATCGATTTTCATTACAAAGTGAGCCTAATAAATTCTGTTATAAAAGCAAGACTCGGTTATTTGTACAGTAACATTTCATTAGGTGTTTTTATGATATATTTATTATCAGCAAGTTGAGATCTTTTAATTTGTTGCTTAAAGCTGGTATATTATAATATTTATCAGTTTACAGCTTGGCCAACAGTCACTGTTATTCTAAACTGGTACAGGGAGTTTATCAGCTGACACAATTTCTGTTCTCCTTTAATTAACCTGTGTGGTGCATGAAGGAGTTTCATCTTCACTGGGCAGATAAAATGTCCTCCACTGAGGGTCTGTCTATGGGACTCTGACAGCAGTGAGAGAACAGCACCCTCCCATGTTCGTCCAAAACAAAGTCGCCTCCCAGCTGAAAAATGCAGGAAAACAAAACAAAAGAGATGTAGACGTAAAAACTGAAATGGTAATGGAGGAAAAGATATTTCATCTTTAATAGTAAATGTCTGTATACGTATGGACATTTTTATCATAAAAATGTATGTTAATTCTAATATCCTTTTTGGCTTCACCTTCATATAGTTAAACATACGCTGCCCATCATTATTGTTATTTGTTGGTTAAATGAGAAGTTTTACTGAAGAATGGGGACTTTAGATATTTGCTGCAGCCACCTCAAATGTCAGTGCTTGGAACTAAAGCTGCGAGCATCATTTTACCTGAAACATGTCGTCTTGAATTGATGGAAGCCCTCGTGGAAACTCCATATTGTCCACCACGTATTCAGCATACAGCAGCATGTTACTGAAGTTTAAAACTTTCTTCAGAGACGCTCCCAGGCTGAATGCTGTGTATATCTGCAACGACCATCATAGTTCAATGCTGGTCTTACCAGCAGGAAAGAAGTGTGTATTCTATATTATTGTCACCAGGTGTTGACCTCTGACCTTCCTATCAGGGTCCAACAGCATGTCATATTGACAGCCAGTCTCCTTCAGCCAGTGTGAAGCTCCCTCCTGACAGCCAAACGAAACGACCACCACTTCAATTGAGTGTGTGTCCAGGGACCTCTGAAAAATAATGTGATATATAGAGGATGATAGATTCGCAGATGGTGCCAACCTTCAATAGTCATGTCTGGGTGCAAGGTTTAAAAGAAGAATTATAACATCCAGAGGCGTCTGTGCCAGTTTGAAGTTGACTTTTGAGATTGTGGTCTCGCCCGACTGTGGTTACCTTTGAGAATAACATAGCTCTAATAACTTGGTCAGATTAATTTGTTTCCTTGCTGATAAGTTTTCTGGCAGCCAGAGGAGGGGGGTGACTGGACTCTTTCCAGTTTTTGCTCTCTGATTATGCTGAACTCTAAACTCACTGTTCTGTCTGCAGTATAAATTAAAAAAGAGAAATAAAAAAACAAAAACAAACAAACATAGCATTAAGATGCATGTCAAGCACGTGCACATCATGTTTCATCACTACATAAACGTAACAGAGATGGCCATTGTACATGATGTACATTCAAGAAACCATAATAGTAAAACATGTTCAGTCACAGTCTCTCCCTTCTTGAAATTTTTTTCTTGATGCTGGATGAGATTTGTTATAGTTTGAACCCACTGGGGAAAAGAAGTTATCCATTTTAGAAAAATACTGAACATCTGCACTCAATACAGTAAGATCTGTAAAAGAGAGAGTAGTAGGTAGTAGTACTCAGCTGAAACGAGTATCTTGTAACAGATAATGTACTTTTTACGAGTATGAGTATCTTCAGAGAAACTGTGTCGGTATCCATTGTAACAAAAAATATAGCAATTTTATTTAAAATAAAACAACTTGTTCTGTAAACAGTTATTTTACTCTTTTGATCCACAACATTGCTTTGAGGCGGTTCTGTAAATAGTTTTCTAATAAATATAGCAGCTTGTGATCCACCCATATCAATGTCAGGCTAAAGTTATCAAGTTCCTGTTAGTCTAAGCCCCCCCCAGCGTGGCAGCCTTTGAAGCCAGTTTGACATAGTGGCCAAACCATGTAATTACAGCACACTGGCCCAAAAAGACTTTTTCCCATAAGCTGACATTGTGAAAGAAGCAGCTGTGAAACTGTGGATAAATAGTTTTGAGCTTCACAACCCCTCTAAATGAAAATGTTGTTTTTTATCATTTATTGTCATATACAGTATATTATTGATTGCCCCTAAATCTTAGTTGTGATACTTTGCATTTGGCTATTGTTAGTATTTGTCTGAACAGGTGAAACTGTTGTAAACATTATTTCTCCAGGGTCTCATCTTTACCTGATTCTGCTCCAGATCTTTAAGATGGAGACGGCAGAGTAAACAGGAGAACTGACGGATTAACACCAGCAGGATCTTCTTACCTTTATGAAGATATTTCTCTAATGTCACTGTTCTGCAAAACACACAGACATAGTAAAATACAATGCAAGGGCGAGATAGGCCACACAACACAAAGCCTCAGACAGATAATGTGATAACTAGCACTGTGTGCACCTACTCTCCCGTTCTGGCATTGATGAGCGATGTATCTGGTGAAATGTATTTTGACTGATGGTCCCCATCCAGTATTTTTGCGCTCAGTTGTAACTCATCATCCAGACGCTGCAGAAAGGCATCCCACTGCACCTGTGTTACATCAGACACAGTCAGTAAAAACAAAATGCTCACGCAATGGCCCTGATAAGAATGTTTTTGAAAATATCTGTTATGTCAGTAACTCACTTCTAGTCTCTGAAAGTCCTGCACAGCGTCCCGTAAAGCTGCACAGCTGGAGAAGTCATACAAAATGTTTTTACTCTTGTTTCAGTTTATAGGGACATTCATTCAGAGTCATTTTCTGAATGAAATTAATGAATGGACAGGAAGGTTTACTGCACAATCAGGAGTCTCTCAGCAGGTTTTTTATTACATCAGGGTGTCAGTTACGGTGGGTTTGGTGGCTTACATTGTCTACAGCCTCTCGAGTTTTTGGCCTTTTAATTCAGAGAGGAAAACATACCAAACCATATTTTAAAGACATAAAAATAAATGTTTATGCTGTGTATTTTTAAGAAATTTTGTTAAGATGTTTTGGGTGTAAATGGTCAGAGACAAAGGGACTTCTTTTATGAAGGAGAAAATATGCTACTAAGGATTATTTTCATCATTGATCAATCTATTGTTTGTTTAATATATTGTTTATTTCCCATCAAAAGCACATGTATGTGCCTCTACTCTTCCTGGGGTGCTGAACAATTTGATTAATCTGCTGATTGTTTTTTTTGTTGTTTTTTTTATTAATTGAGGAGTCATTTGATCTATGAAATTCCAGAAAATGCTGACAAATTACAATTTCCTAAATCCCGAGTTAATGTCTATAAATATGTCTGATCAACTGTCCAAAACCTGATTGATAATCACATAAGACAAAGAGCAAATTATTACCATTACAGTAAAAGGATGGAAGTAGGGAATGTTTGATATTTCTGCTTCAAAAAAACAATTAATTGATTATCAAAATAGTTAAATTTTCTGTTAATCAAGACTAGAGATCAAGATTAATAGACTACTTGTTTCAGCTGTAGCTCTTACTGATTGTTTTTTCTCCATAGGTCCTCTGCATCCTTTTTCCTCTTAACAGACAAACTGTGAAATTAGAATGAAATAGAATAGACATTTTAAAAATATAATTTTTAGAGTAGCAGCAACATACTGAAATGTTTTTACAGTTGTCCATATACTGTGGATACAGCTCATAATAACCTTCTGTACAAGGCTGCACCAGCTTCAATCAGACCCAGCAGTGACTGCTTTTGCTCGATGCAGATTTTCTGCCTGATGAATTCCTGGAGAGAACCTATGTAATATAAAGTAAACGAAGTTAGTGTGCAACAGTCTGTTTGTGTCATTCTTCATGTCTAATGATTGACAGGCCTCCTGCTGCCCCCACTCTTAGTACGTCCATAAATCGCCTGCCAACTGCAGAACTGCAGTGTCTGTATGTCTATTTTTACGTGCACTTGTCCCCAACAAAATGCAGCCTACCTTCCCTGCTCTCCTTCTCGGCGAGGTCCAGCAGAGCTTTTCCATTTTCAACAAAAGCTATTAGAGCTTTCACACAAGAGACTGCAGTCGGGTCTGCTCCATCAGCCATTTTCAGTTTGAATGTGGATCTGTAATCGTTTCATAAGATATGCAACTTCTTATCAGTTTACCGGAGTCAAACAAGCTCTGCTTTCTCTCGAAGTCCACTCCGGGCAAATAGGGAAACAAAGGATTAGCTGTTGAAGCTCAGTTTAAAGGGCCACTCCAGCGATATTACACATAAAGCTCAGTTTGCTCGTAATGAGGAATACTGCTCAGCTTATGAGAGTGGTTGCATAATGTCTCAGGTTAAGGACTGCACATTTATTACAGGCATCCTATTTTAAAAACCATGAAGTTTGAAAGAGGGGCTTTTACCAGTAAAATGGGGTCTAACAAGATGAAGCTATTGGTTGTATTACCAAATCATTTTGGAGGTTAACCCATTACACCATCATCTTTACTAAAAGTACAAAAGCTGTCCATACTAACTGGATATAGTACAGTATATACTATATACTAATCTTTATAGTAGTAGTAGTAGTATAAGGCTTCCCCATATTCTGTATTCTCATGTTGACGGTATTCTCAATTTTATTTAACATACAACACTCCACAACTAACAATCCACTTCTTATGAACCATGCTTTGTCCTTCAGTTTGGCATGGGAACTAAGTAGTACTACAACACCCATGAGCCTCGGTCACAAATTTCAAAATACTTTGTTGTTGCAGTTGGGAACAGCATAGTAGTAACTTGGTGATTGGATGTTTCTTCCAGAAATGCACCATGGGAGTCATAGTTTAACTCATTACATTATGTCTTTATGTAAACAGTGTTCTACTTTTGACTTTTCTAACACAGTTTTGTATTGATAATCACAATGTTGTCTATGGAGAAAACAAATGGGAAATTTACATCCAGTACTTGAATTTCCCTCGGGATAAATAAAGTTTCTATCTATCTATCTAGTATAGGAGCGGTGAAAATAGTTCCTTCCACTTTGCAACTCTGTAGGTCAGTATGTAGAAAATGAGTGAAAGGTGTCAAAATGTCCTTTACTTTTTGATCTGCGTGTTAGGGAAGGCATAAAACTGCTTAGTTGTAGGTGGCCTGTTGGAGGTAAAACGAACTTTCTCTTAAATCTCAACATATCAGGATCAGACACTGAACACAAAGCCAGCATTTCTCTTTTTATTGCTATGAATCTCACATAAACCAGATTTTGTTTTCACAGTAGTTGCAGCATTAATCAACTGTCTCCATTTCCAAATCTCTCTGTTCTTGGTATTCGTCCTTCACGACTTCTTGGAGGTGTTCGCTGTTGCTCTCCTCTATGTGGTTCACCTCTGGCTCCTGGACGCCCTCAGAGAGTTCTTGTGATTGGCATTCGTCTGTTTCTGTGGGTATAACATGAGAGATTATGAAAGAGCTGGCGATCTCTTTCAGACGAGCCTGCTCCGTCTTCAGCTGAGCCAGTTCCTTGGTCAGTGGAGTTTCGAGCGTCGGTGTCCCGGCGGGGGCATCAGAGGCCGAGGCTGCAGCATTCTGGGTGGGATGATCGTCTTTAGGGACTTCAGGGGTCTCCAGCTCCTCAGAGCCCTTCTTCTCTGTTGGTTCAGCAGTATTGCTGTCTGCTTGACTTCCAGCTCCCTGCACCTTCTCATAAAGACTCTTCCTCTCCTCTTGCAAAGCCCTGCACAGATTCTCAAGCTTCTGGTTCTTGACAGTGACAAGCTCAAACTCCTTTTCTTTGATTGCTTTCTGTAAAGGATTAAAATTAATGGAACATATTAGTAAAGTAGAAGTGAAGAAATGGTTTTTTTTAGTAAAAAAAAAAAAGATGCCTTCCAGTAGGTGGCAAACAACCCAATCCTTGCATTGAGCTATAAATGACTGAAGATGTTTCTTACATCTGACACCATCTCAAGGAGATTCTTGTTGCAGCTATCAAAGCGAGTCTTCCATGACTGGCACTCTTTCTCCAGCTTTTTCATTTTCTTGGCCATCTGCATGACAAAAAAAAATCACGTTACCCAGTACACAATCAAAGCCACTTCTAAATATAGCTGCCACAATAGAGCATAGGAATCTACTGTTTAAGTTTTAGTGTAAATCTCATGGGATTTTCTTTTCTCTTTTCCTGTTTTTATCGTATTTTTATTCACAGATAAACTAAATAATAGAACCAATGACTTCAAATATTCTGTGAAGCCGCTCTTACTTTGTCCATGTCCTGTTTGAAGCCGCTGTAGACACTGTTACTCTTTGATACCGTGCCCTGGAATTCATCAAACTTCTTGGAGTACATATCGATCTGAGGAGAAACGATGAGAAAAACATTATAAACGCCTCCAGAGAGGTAGAAAAACAAGCCAATGTTGCTTATGATGCCTTGTTCCCGTACCTGGATCTTCATATCGTTTTCTTGCTCCTTCATGGCCTTCACTTTCAATTTACATTCCGCCGTCTGTTTTAGCAGCTGTGGAATATTAAAATGTTCAGTGAAAATGAGCATTAGGGGGATTAGAATAGCAAATATTTTATTAAAATGCTTATAGCAATCAACAAATCTGATACACAAAACATACAAGCTCTCTTTCCAGCTTGTGCTTCTCCTCGGCCTCCTTCAGCAACATGTTTGCCTGCGCGAGTTTGGTCTCCAGCAGCTTTTCTTTCAGGTCTCTGTGTTTGAAGACCTTTTCCAGGTTCTGGAAGACAATCGGGGGAATTTATGAGTCGTTTCACGCTGAAAGCTGTTTCATTTCTTGCTCAGGGAGCTTTGGCTACATAAAACAGAAATACTGTAACTAATAAATGTAAGACCTGGATGAAATGTGCGAATAATTCATGTGTTTGAAACTGGCACAGAGGTCCCAGATGTGTGAGGTTTTACACAAGTACAGCTCAGGTAGCATCAGGTAGGTTTGCATGTAGATTGGGGTTTACAAATTTGCTTTAAAACTTTGTTTTGAACCCATGCGTGCTTAGTATGTGGCAGGATCAATACCGCCTCTCGCTGGTCGTATTGTGAAATGAGGCCCTTCAGTTTCTCTGCCAGAGCGCCGTTCTCTTGGCACAGCTTGGTGTTGCGGCTGCTGTGTTCCTCAATTTGGGCCTGAATGTCGCTCAGTGTCCCCTGGAAGTGGGTGGTGATCTCTTTCCTCTTCAGGTCGTCCTCTCTGCACCTCTGCAGGGTTTCTTCCTGCATTACAGGGATGGAAAGCTCAAAACAACCTTGTATGTGACACATTCGCAATTAGCGCAGTGACATAGAGCTAGGAGCATCTTTAGCTTGTCCTCTGATTTTATACAATACCCAGGTGTCAGTGCAACACTAAAATCTGTTCTGTCAGTAGAAAATTACCTGTGGTTATACCCATGGTTTCTTTCTCACCTACAACTGAACAGTCTGTTTTGTTGTTTCACGTCACCAGCTTCACAGCTAATTAACTACTGCTCCAATAGGCAGCAATGCTGGGAGCTAAAGTTAAGTCAAAGCTGATTGGTCAATTTCAAAAGTCTACTGACTATAAAGTACACACAGGAAAAAATTTAGATGACTTCTGTAATTGTGAAGTTATTGAAGCTGTGACAAATTATTTTCAGCATTGATTAATTGCTGATTATTTTTCTCAATTATTCTTTTTAGATAAGAAAAATATTTCCAAAAGGCATATGAGGTCTTCAGGCTGTATTTTGTCTAACAGTCCAAAACCAGCTAATGATGCTAATAGCTGATATTATAAATAAGTTATTCTTATAGTTCCCATTGAAGTCAGTATAAAATATATGCTGAAAAAATTGCATTTCCCCTGTTATACCCCGTTATTACTTTATACCTCAAAAAGTGTTCAATATATTGGTAAACTGTGGGATCTACACTAGAATTAGAAATGAAATTTGCTGGTTGGTTTGAACAACACTTGGCTTTAACAGGAGTTGTAGGTGTGGCAGTTTAAGAGGTCAAATTCTGAGCTTTGACATAATTGTTGATCTTTGGTGCCAGCTGATTGCACCTCCTGTAGAGCACAACATATGGTTACAACACCTGACACCCAAAATCAGCTTAACAGCAAATGGCACTCTCAGTAGCTCAGATTAGATACTTCCACTACTACATGAAGAGCAGACTTGACAGGAGCTGAAGTACCTTTAGGGTCTTGTTGTGCCTCTGCAGCTCTCGGCAGAGCCCCTCCAGCTTACTGCGAGCCAGCACGGCTCGGCTGTGCTCGCTCTGCAGCTGGTCCTTCTCCTTCATCACCTGGAGCAACTTCTTCTGCAGAACCTTCAGCTGCTTCTGATCACTCCGATGCTCCTCCAACTGCAAACAATCCACCACAAGTGTAAAGATACATACCACTAGTATGTGTCCTCGTTCCAGTTTTTCTTTATGCATTCACTCACCAGCTCAGCGTGCTTCTTGATGATGGCTTCCAGTTTCTGTTCTGGAGTATTGAGTTTGTTCAAACTTTGCATCAGCAGCATGGCTTCCTTTCCTGTAAAAGGCACAGAGAGTTTCACACAAGTTAAACATCACACGTCAGTCAAGTCCAATCAGGTTTGACTTTCATTTATTTTAATTACCCCAGAGCAGGAGGTGAAAATGATCAGAGAGATTATTTTGGAGTTCCTGAGAAGTCTATCTCCCCATACAGTGAAAAATCATGTTGGCACCTCAACTGAAGCCAACTATAAAAGGCTTGTGGAAATACTATTTTACCTGCTGGTCTGTTGCAGATGGATGCACTTACACGCATTACAGCTCTGCTTACACTCCTATCAGTTTCAGTACAACTTGGACTTTTGCTGACTGAGCTGAATGAAACCCACCTCAGCTAAAATCGATAAATCGTTTTGAAAAAAACAAAACACCTAGATTTTTGAGCATCTTCTTCTCTAGTTTCTGGTCCTTGCGGGTGTCTGCCTCTTTGACGGCTGTGACCTCCTCTGTGTCCTCTGGCTCAGCGGGAATCTCGGCAGCCTGGTAGGTGCTAATGATGTCCTCCAGCTGTTGGGCCAGGTCCTCTGTCAGGTCAATGTGCCGACCCTCGGCTGGCGACGCCTCCGGACCCGTGGGTGCAGGGCTGCTCTCCTGACAAGTCTCCATTATTCTGAGCTAGTACTAAGAAAGAAACAGTTGGTTTCTGTAATGAATCGGAGGAATAAAAGGGATATTCATCTCATCCTGGCATTGTTATTCAAAG